CATACTGATGCATTATTATATTTGACATTTTCCAGTTTAGAATTGTACACATCTCCTATGCATTTTATCACATTCTCGAATGTATTCAAATTCTCTTCATCTCTTTGCTGTATTTTGTAAAAATCAAGTATTTGTCATTCCTCATCAACTTTCATTTTATTATTAGGGTTTTTTAGTGCTGTATTTTTGTTTCAAGTGAATTAAATTGATTTTGTTACTCTGTTTATCATTTATGACTTGGATATTTTATTTGTTGGTAGATCATTGTTGGTTAAGTATTTGCATGCTGAAGAGATAGGGACTCATGTTCTTTCACAGAATTCTTAACTCCAGGTGTTTTATAGACTAAGACAAGGTGTCATAGGTTGTTTTAGGGATTTTTTTTTTTTTTTAAGAAACAGTATTTAGATCCTGTACTGGCTGGTTTTATGTGTCAACTTGACCCAAGCTGGAGAGAAAGCCTCTCTTGAGGAAACGCCTCCATGAGATCCAGCTGTAAAGCATTTTCTCAATTAGTGATCAAGGGTGGGAAGGCCCGTTGTGGGTGATGCCAACCCTGGGCTGGTAGTCTTGGGTTCTATAAGAAAGCAAGCTGAGCAAGCCAGGAAAAGCAAGCCAGAAAGTAACATTCTGCCATGGCCTCTGCATTAGCTCCTGCCTCCAAGTTCCTGACCTGCTTGAGTTCCAGTCCTGACTTCCTCTAATGATGAACAGCAATGTGGAAATGTAAGCTGAATAAATCCTTTCCAAAGAAAGTAGATTCTAGAACAGAACAGGCTCTGAAAAAGAAGGGTACAGACGGGTTTAAATGTAACATAAAAAGAATAATGGTTTGTCATAAGGGATATGGGGAGCAATGGTCTGTGTGTGTGTGTGCGCGCGTGTGTGCATGCGTGCATGCATGTGTGTGCTTGGCTTTAAAATTTGAGGTAAGTGTATAGCTTTGCCTAATTTTACATGAACTCTTACCCTAGGTATTAGGACTCTAGTGAGCACTAACTAATGTAGAAGTGCTTTGATACTACTAGACCTTTACCAAGGGATTAATACAACTCACAACTAAACAACAAAAACACACCAGGCATCTCTTAGAGATGATAGACACATCACAGCCTTCATTGTGCTCATAAGTTTCATATATGTTAACTCATCAGATTGCAGGCATTAAATATGTACTGTTGGGCTGGAGAGATGACGCTGTGGTTTGAGAGCATTGGCTGCTCTTCAAGAAGGTCTTGGTTCAAGTCTCACATGGCAGCTCACACTCATTTGTAACTCTAGTTCCAAGGGACCTGACCCCCTCTTTTGTCCTCTTCAGGTAGTGCATATGTGTGGTGTACAGACATACTTGCAACCAAAATACCCATACAGAATAAAAATTAAAATACAGTTTATATTAGTCATCCTACAATAAAATTGCTTATAAAACTTATACAATAATTTTAAGACTCACAATTATCACACTTTGATGAATATGACCAGTTATTTTATAGCATTATCACTTAGTTTGGATTTGTCTGTTTGATTAGATTCAGTTCATTTGTGTCTGGATGGAGAAAGGGGGGAGGGGATGGGGGAGTTGTGGAGGGGTAACAGGGAAGGGGAATGTCATTTGAAATGTAAACAAATAAAATGATTAATTTAGAAAAGAGAGAAAGAATCATCAGAGTGAGTGTTACTAGTGTACCCTGTCAGATAGTACTTAGCTTCAGTCTGTTTTATTACTGGTAATGTTAGCTCTGATCACTTGATTAAGATGGTATCTGTTGAGTTTATCCAGGGTAGTATTTTGAGGAGTTACATTATCTTTTGTGTGTGTATCCCATTCTGATGTTCATCAAGTAAAATGGAAGTTTCATTTAGCAACACCAAAAAGTTTAAGCATCCACTACTGTTTCTTAAAGTATAACATGATGGCTGCCAGGTGGTGATTTTGTAATTCCGCCATTTCTTCTATACTTTCTGTTTGCATTTTATTTCAAGGAAATGCATTGTGTTTATTAATTCATGTATTTATGCAGTATGGGCTCTCCTGTTTTATTTATTGAGTTTTATGCCACTTTTGCTCTTCAGTAAATGGTTCTGTTTGGAAGAGATTATGGAATGCTGAGGTGGGTACAGCCTTGCTGTAGGAAGTGCATCGCTAGGGATGGGCTTTGAAGTTTTATATCCTCATTCCATTTATGATCTCTGAATATCTATGTGTGGATGAAAAATGAGACCAGCCAGCTTCCTGCTCCTGCTAACCTGTCACTGCTTCCTGTCATTGTGGACTCCAACCCTTAGAACCATGATAAACTAAATGTCTTTTTCCCTAAGTTTCTTTTGGTCGTGGTATGTTACCACAGCAAAAGAAAAGTAACTAATGTAATACAGCTGTTATTTGAGTCTCAGGTGCTTCCCAGGTGGCAGTCCTTCAGGTACTTTAGGCCCTTTGACAACTGTTTTGTTTTGGACACTTACACTGAGGCAGTAAGTACTTACCTGTACTCACTGATTTGTAGCACTCTTTTGTCTTCTTATTTGAGTGTGAGTATTTAAAAAATCAGGATCTGAGTGTGTGTGTGTATGTAGACATACATACATACATACATACATACATACATACATACATACATGTGTGTGCGTCTAGGCCTTTGAGGTAGTGAGTGTTCCTAGTTGTTCTCTGTGAAGCAGATCTAGGAAATACATTTATGCTTGTATTTAGCTTTTTTTCTAGATGTATTGAAAAACCATGTTTATATCAGTACTTCCAGTTTTGGTCTAGAAGCATAGGTCCATGCTGATTCTCCTCCCTTTTGTAATTTACAGCTTTACTTTTTCCTAACATGAGACATCTTGATCCCATTGTCCTCTATATACTCATTAGAGTGAAATCTCCCTTCATGTAACCCTCCATCACTGTCACCGTCTTTTCTGCTCAAACACCTACAGATGCTTTTGTGCTCCACTGAGATCTTTGAGCTTCATGCCATGCCCATAATGACCCCATGTTGATGTCATTCTCAGCCTGTTCAGACTGTAACACCCTATGACACATTGTTCCCTCCCCCTCATTCCTTGCACATAGCTGAGAGCATCTCTTTACCCAGCACTGGTTCCATCAGTGTGCACTTCTCTGTTTAAGAAATTGCCTCCTCTGCAAAGGCAGTGGTTTCTTACCATATCACCTTCTAGAACTTTTGTTTTGTTTACTTCTCTTAATATGGTTGCAAGAAGGACTCCATTTTCATTCGATCTGGCAGTTTGTGCATCTAGGTGATCCAACAACCGTTCTTTCAAAACCACTCTTTCCTTGTGCTTTGTCATAGATCATTTGAAAGGGCATTTAAGTAAAGGGCATTTAAGTGGTTGCATACTACTTAAGTTATTAATTCCAAGCTTCAAATATAAAATTTAGAAGTCTTTTCTCTAGTAAAAATGTAGAAGTGATGACTAAAGCCCCAAGTCAAAGTCAAGAACCTTTTAAGTCACAGTGTACTTTTTTCCCATTGTGATAAAGTAACAGCATAAATATTTCACACATGCGTGGTGTGTGTGTGTGTGTTTTCTGCCTACATGTATGCCAATGCACCTGCTTCCCACAGCAAAAGATATCAGGTCTCCTGGAACTGGAGTCACCTATGTGGGTAAATGAGACTCGCACCTAAGTTCTCTGCAAGAACAGTCAGTGCTTTTAACCCCTGAGCCATCTCTCCAGCCCCTTATTTTAGCTTTTCAAGTATATAATTCAGTGACATTAAGTATATATTCATAATATTATGCAAATGCCATCCCTTCTCTACTTGTTTGAGAGAGGGGAGATTGATTTTTTTCTTCTCATCATTAAATCTAATGGCTAAAAATGTGTTTGAAAGTAAAATAAGAAATTCAGATAGCAGAGTCCAACAATTCTAGTTCATTTATCAATGTTAATATTCTTACAGTTAATATTCTTACTGAAATTCAAAGTATCTTTAGAGCATATTCATTGTGTTTGTCTTGTAAAGGATGTGCTGAAGAAAGATGATTTATTTTGTGTTGGTATGCATAGATCTTCTACCTCTGACCTGTGTTTACTGTTAACAGTTGCAGAAATCAAATTCCACATCAAAGCAAGAGCAGTCACAATCCTGACCCAGTTAATGTTTCAAACCTTCCTTCTATTTTTCATAAATTTCATCTCTCTCTTAATATTATAAGCAGTATTCTACCTGATTTATAAACAATTATAGATTATTTTAATTGCTTCATAACATTTAATGTTAGTAGTTAATGTTACTTAAGATACGTTTGAATATTTAGAATATTAGACAATTCCCCAGTTATAAGCACTGTTCTAGAGACTACCTTAGAAGTTTTATATTTTATTTTTAAATTGTTTCTTGAGAGTAAATTAAACTAAGTCAGAGTTCAGACTTTTTTTTTTTAAAAGACTGTAGATATTTACTGGCAAATTACTTTTTCTAAACTTTCTCCTGTCACATGAAGACAACCAGTATTGGTGGGTTAGTGACTTTACAGGGACATCAGGCAGACATTAGGAACATTATTGTTCTTGGTAGCAGAGTTTTAATACTATGGATTATTTTTAATGATCAAATTCAGTTTGGAGATTTTAATATTTTTTCTGTGGATTTATAAACTCATTATTTGCATAGTAGGCTAGTTTTTTTATTTTAATGTGAAAAATGGAAATTGTCAAATAACTTCTGGATACTAGAAAAGCATCCTGTCTACAAAACAAGCACATCATAAAGTTGATTGTGATTGTCTTTATTGATACATCTTACAGAACAGACCTTCTTAATCATGGGCCCTAACATTATAAATTGATGTCATAATTATTGCTGGAATAATTAGGACAGTCTCGTTACTTAACTAACTAAAGTAATATCTTAATAAATTATTCACTTATTAAATATTATAGAGAACTATAATTTACCTTTTTGGTACAACTTTCTGTTTGCTTTTCTTTTATTTGGTGTTTTTTTCCTGATTTTTGTCCTTGATGATTTTAGCCCACAGAAGCTGTTCCTCCCTCCTCTCCCATTGTCCCTGTGACCCCTGCCCTGCCAGTCCCTGCTGAGAGTACTGTCGTCCTGCCCTCCGCACCACAGGTTGTTACTGCTTTCTTTTTTCTTTATAAAAATTTAATTTGCTTTCAATGTTTTATTTGTATCTTTTAAAACTGTTGAAGGTTTTTTTGTTAGGTATATTAATTTGCTTTGACTTCAGTTGATATTTAAGATAGGTTCAACATTTGCCATTTTATTTGGTAGTCTATGAAATGGAGTGCATTCTGAACTTATAGTAATGAACTTTTGGGAATTTGTTAACATGCTTTTCTACTTGTAACTATGTTTAGAACAAATTTTATAAATTATTCTAATTTTTAAATTTAGTGGTCCTGATCCTTTGCCAGATCCATTCTTTTATATGGCATTGTTTCTCAGTGTATATTGGTCTCCTTTGGAAATATTCAGCCTTTTGTTATTGGGTTATATCCCATACTTTACATTTATTAAAATAAGTTGTATCTCAATTATATGAAAACTCCTGTTTAAGAGTCAGGGCCTCATGTAGTCTGTGTTAGCTTTGATCCTGATGGTCCTAGCTGCTGCCACTTCCTGAGTGCCCAGTCTAGGTGTGTACCATGGTGCTCTGTGTCTATGTGAACTGTTTACACGATCTCATAACTTCTGTCAGAACTGCGACAGAATACAACCATAGCCAAATGTCAGTGAATTTGATACGTTTTGATTTTTAGAATCTTACTAGTTGTAAGGAGTGGTTTATTGACACTTTATTGCCATTGCAGCACAGTTATTATCACACAGCACACATTGATAGTGAATGTGTTATGTATAATATTAATGATCTTCTGTTGAGAGCCTGCAGTATCATTTTAAAGGTAAATGTGTTCATAGATATTTTTGCTGAAATTGATGAGTAACACAAATCTACATGGGTAAACAATAGTGTGTGTGGGTGTGATCACAGTGTCAATCCCCACTGAGAGGGAGATGAGAGCAATTGTGGGCACTCACAGTTTAGGGCTTCCCTCTGCTAATGACTGAAAACCAGTCAGAATAGCCACACTAAATGAGATTCCAGGATAAATCCTTAGTGTTGCAGTGAGACTTCAGTATGTAATGACTGAATGGTACTATGACTTCTGTAGGGCCTTCACCTCTTGTGGAAATCATGTAGAATTCAGTCGTTATGAAACCATCATGACTTGAATGGGTAAATCCAGATACATATCATTTCCATGAGAGAGAGAGCAGTCAGCAATCTAAAAGTTATTACAACATGGTAAAGATACATGTGTTTTTAAATGCCTAATGGTGTGACATTTTCCAAACGGGATTGCAAAGGTTATTTTACTTGCTTCTTTTGCTTTTTATTTTAAAATAATTTGTTAGAATCCCTTAAAGTTTTGTACAAGTCTCTGCTCTGTTTTTAATTAGGAACCTGTCCTTTCTTTAGATTTCTTTTATTTACTTATTCAATGTCCCTCACAGCATTCTACTATTATTTTTAGTTGTAAACATCCATAGTCTTAGAGTTAAAAAAATAAATTAATAAGGGTTTATAGGTCAGTCTGATTTGTTTTGAACTCTGCTGTGTAACAGAGTAGTTCACTTCACAGTGATGAATTCTGATAGCAAATCTGTATTACTAGAGTAGTAGTAGTTCTAATTTGAGAGATTCTGCAGTGATTAAGAGTCTTATATAAGAGGTATGGCTTTGAGTCCTGACTTCAGTTCCAGGCAAAAAAGAGAAAAGTATCTACACAGTACCTTTCTCCTAATCCCCTCATACTATCTGCTTGACTTTTTTTGAGAGAGAATAAATGAACAAATTTAAAAGTCAGTGAGCGCCCAGTCATGATGGTTCACACACCTTTAATTCCCAGGACTGAGGAGGCAGAGGCAGGAGAATCTCTGTGAGTTCAAAGCTAGCATGGTCTCATATAGCAAGCTCTAGAACAGCCAGAACTACAGAGACAAACAAAATCAATGAGGCCATGTATACAAGAAAAGGAATGCCCTCGGTTTGTTGTACAGACATGACGGATGTCCTTAGATGATAGTAATCCATACTGTAGAATATGGGGAGCTCATGGATTTGTCTCTTTCTCCAAGATAAGTATTGTCCTCGATATTAAATATAACACATTTATTGTTAAAAAAAAACAATTAATAGAACACTGGTCCCAATAAATTTTGAAGCGTATTCTTTAAAGAATGTATTCCTTGGAGTAGAGGGCTGGCTCAACAATTAAAAGAAGACCCAAGTTCAGTCCTGGGCACTAAGGTCAGGTGGCTCACAACCTATTTTTGACTCCAGCTCTAGGGGATTTGACACCCTCTTATGGCCTCTACAGGCACTTGATTCACAAATACACACAAAAGCTCACACGCTTAAAAAAAAATAAATCTTCATTGTTAAACCCTCATCAAAGAAGTTTCTTCTTGCAGTAGATGAGATTTAGCACAGAGACCCCAAACTGGACAGTGTACAGACAATGAAAGACCATGAAGCACTTGGCCCTAAATGGCATGTCTTCATCACACCCTTGAGGCTCAGGGATCAGTGCAGAAGAGGAGGCAGAAAATTGTAAAAACCAGAGAGATAATGGATGATTCCAAGGAAACAGTCTTTTAGATGCACATAGGAATTCAGAGACTGTGACATCACTCACATTCAAGCCAGACAAAAATCCCAGCAGAGAGAAGTAGATATGTGATCCAAGAAGCAATTTGCAGTTGATACTTGTTGAGAGATAGAAAATCAGTTTACTCCATTGTAGTGGCACTGGGTTTATTAGCCCCACACCAGGGCAGGTCCCATCTCACACTCAGAAGTAGTTGACTAACACAAAATGGATGCCATTGGTTTTTGTTGTTGTTATTACGGTTTGCTGTTTTTGTCTGTGGTATTTATTTTGTCTTCTTGGGTTGTTGGTCTTTTTGTTTTATTGTTATGGGAGAGGAAGGGAGGGGGACACATTAAGTTGAGAAGGTAGAAAGGATATGGGAAAACTTGGGGAGGGGAAAGAATATAACCAAAATGTATTATGAAAAAATGTAAACACTGTAAAAATGAAATATACAAAATAAATGTTTAAAAGAATGTATGACTTAGGCTTGTCCTTTTAGAGGTATCAGGGTGTCGTAGATCTGTTTAGGGGTTAGTATGGCTGTCATGAAACACCATAACAAAAAACAAGTTGAGGAGGAAAGGGCTTATTTGGCCTAAACTTCCACATTGTAGTTTTTCACTAAAAGAAGTCAGGACAGGAACTCAAACAGGGCAGGGACCTAGAGGCAGGGCCTGATGCAGAGGCCATGGAGGAATGCTGCTTACTGGCTTGCTTTCTTATAGAACCTAGGATCACCAGCCCAGGGATGGCCCCACCCACAATAGGTTCAGGTCTCCCATCAATCACTAAGGTAATGCCCTACAGGCATGCCTACAGCGCCATCTTATGCAGACATTTGCTCAGTTGAGGCTTCCCCTCTCAGAGGACTTTAGTTTGTGTCAAATTGATGTAAAACTGTTCAGGACAGAAGTAGAAGACAAAAGATTCAGAGTTTAGTCCTGGCTGTGTTTCACAAATAAGTTACACTTTCAGAATGTTATGTTCCTCCCTTATCTGTGAGGGAGAGGTTAGTCACTATATTTCATAGTAACTGTGAGGTTCAGGGCATAAACCCAAAGGAAGAAAGATACATAGATGTATGATTTTTTTTTAAGACTATATTGTCAGATGGGCACAATGGTGCATTCTTTTAATACTAGCACTGGGAAGGCAAGGCAGGAAGATCCCTGTGAGTTCAAAGCTAGCCTGGTCTATATAGCAAGTTCCAGACAGGTCAGAAAACCACAAAAAACAAAAACACCTTTTTGGTGGTTTTCTTTCTTTTTGTGGAATGCTTTTATATTTTACAGAGTGCTTGTATGTTGATCCTATCATTTGAACTTTATTAAACCTGACTACAAATGATACAGAGCAAGATACATTGAATGGCTACATAAAGTTAATAAAACATCATGAACTTAATAGACTGATCCAAACCCACCACCACTCAGCAACACTCATTTCTGAGAGCTGAAGAATTTCTCATGTTTTTCAGAGCTCCAGTTTCCCACATGAACCAAAGCATATGATACATAGCTTTTTATCGGGAACATTCTACTCGGGAACAGATACTTTAAGCTTGTTTGTGTCACCTTGAAGCACTATTCTGTGATTCAAGTTTGGGCGAAATGCTTTTGCTCTGGTGTGCTCTTGGATGTATTCTCATCCTTCTCCCCTCTCCCCAGGGCCCCCTCTCTTGCTCTTCCTCACTCTCCTCTCCCCGTCCATTCTCCTTTTTCTTTCCCCCTTCTGTGCTTGCCATGCCTGTGTGCATGTGTTGGGGGGTGGTCTCTTGATACTTAGACACACACTTTACAATAAGTTGGTTTCATTCTTTTCTTCTTTTTCTTCTCTTTCCTCCTCTTCTTACCCCCTCTTCTTCTTCCTCCTCTTCCTCCTCCTCCCCTTCTTCCTCCTCCTCTTCCTTCTGGTAATTGTAACAATCATATGCATATACTTTAATACTCTTCTCCATCTGAGATTTGGTTTTCTGCAGTTCCGTTTACAGTCAAATTCGAAAAATATTAAATGGAAAATGCTAGGTGCCATTGAGTCAGATTTTACCTTTATTTTCCAATAGTGTTACACTTGTTTCTATTTATTACTAATTACCCTTAATCCCTTTCTGTTACTAATTTATAGATTAAACCTCATAGGTATCATGGATATGTTATACACACACGCACGCACACGCACACACACACACACACACACGAACAATACAGTACTAGTACCCAGTTGTTTCAAGTACTTGCGCAACATCCCAAAAGATATTCTTTATGAATCACCCACGCACACACACACACACACGCGCACGCACACACACGAATGAACAATACAATACTACTGCCCAGTTGTTTCAAGTACTTGTGCAACATCCCAAAAGATATTCTTTATGAATCACACACACACACACGAATGAACAATACAGTTCTAGTACCCAGTTGTTTCAAGTACCTGTGCAACATTCCAAAAGATATTCTTTGTGGATCATGGAAACTTAAGTATATACTAATACCATAATTGACTTCCTACAAGAGCAACTATAGATGAGAAAGGTTAGCAGTTAATTTCATTATAGCATGAAAGTAATTTCACTAGAGGTATAGTCTACTGCAGATCATCCAGTGACCTCTGGACCTTTCAAATTTTACAATACATAAGAGTATTAAGTCTTAAATTATTGGATCAGTAGTATTGTTTGACTTGATATACTTTCATTTTATGAGTAGTCTTAAAATAGCATCTGTGGGATTATCTGGATGAATTTCTTTGTAGTTGTATACTGACATTTGATGAAAATGTCTTTATTCTACTTATTTTTTAGAAAATTTTTTAGTCTTGCATTGGGCTTTATTTTCAAATCACTTCAGGTTTATAAAGTTGCAAAATAGTACAAAGATGTTTCATACTTTTACCTAGATATACTAGTTGTTAATACTTAAACACATCCACTTTATCATTTCTCTTACTGTATATTATTTATCATCATCATTAATCACTTCTATGAATTTTTGTAGTTTAATATAGCAACAATCACTGCAAGACACTTTATTAATCATTAAATAGATCAGTAAAATTAACTTTCTTTAACTGTTAGTAGTAACACAGGTCAGATTCTCTGTCAGTTCTTCTTCTAGACTCTCATTTACCATAGGGCAGGGTACCCCTTCCCTAGCATCTAAGAGACTGATGGGGCTTCCTAGTCCATGTTGAAACATACACAATGTTGTATTTGTTGTTAAGTAATGATAGATAAATATGTGTACAATTTTCTATGGTTTATGACATGTTTTCATTTATAGCACTTCTGGGACCCTTATACAATCCTTTGGTAAAGAGTTTGAATATTCATTATGGTTTAATATAATCAAATGTCACTGAGTAATTGTAGAGTTGAGATCTTTGACCAGGTCTTGGCATATAGTGTCTTTTGAAGAGAGATGTAGGAAAGTAAGTTTTTCTTTTCCTATCTAAAATAACAAGAAAACAGAAAGCAGAGAGAGGCTACTCTGTCCAACGTAAGGCCTTGACAACCTTTACAAGACAAGAGGTAACATGGAATGAGCAACCTTACCTACAAGAGGATTTAAAAGAGTCTTTACTGCAACTATATAAAACTAGTTTATTTTCTGTAGCTACACTTTATACCTTCTGTGGGAAGCAGCCTGTCTTCATTTTTGCTGTTAGAGTAGCTTTAACTTTGGTACTATATTTATCTGTCTGCATTGTGCATATATCTTCTGGATCAACTCAAATTGTGTTCCTTCATTCATTCCTGTTACTACAAATTGGAAAAATATAAAACAATATTTTAACAAATACCATGTCTGTATCTTGTAATAAGTAAAATTAGAAAAGTTTAGGTTGGTAGGTAATTTATATATCAAGATAGAGGCTTTCATTTTCTTCCTACTGATATCATCTTATATTTTACCATTTCTTTAAGTGCCTAAAATTGAGGTACTCAGACCATCTCACTATTTGAGCTTCATGTCTGCAAGCTCTTTTATTTATTTATTTATTTATTTATTTATTTATTTATTTATTTTTGGTTTTTCGAGACAGGGTTTCTCTGTGTAGCCCTGGCTGTCCTGGAACTCACTCTGTAGACCAGGCTGACCTCGAACTCAGAAATCTGCCTGCCTCTGCCTCCCAAGTGCTGGGATTAAAGGCGTGCGCCACCACTGCCCACCGCAAGCTCTTATTTTAAATGACTTTTTATGGCATTTCTTCTTTCCTTATAATCATATTTTTAAATAATAAAATATATTGTCAAACAAAAACTAAACATGTTAGAACTGGACAAAAAAAATTAACAAAGAGTCCAAGAGAAGGAATAAGACTCCGCGGCACTCATCTACACTCTCGGGAACCCCGTACAAGTGCTGAACCCGAAGCTGTAACACAGACTCAAGGGACCTGGTGCAGATTACTGCAGGCCGTGTGCATGCTGCCCCGTCTCTGTGAGTCAGAACAGATAAGCTTTGTTCGTGTTGATTTAGAAGGCTGTCTCTCTTCTCTGGGGTTCTCTGAGCTCGAAGGGAAGAGATTTTATGAGGGTGTCCCATTTAGGCTGAGTGTTCCAAGGTCTCACTCTCTGTTATGAAATATTTTTTCAAATTGCTAGGGTTTTTTAATATCATGATAGATTTATCTACCAGATGCTAGGCTGATTTAAATTTTTAATTAATCCTTAATGTAAACATTCATTTTTTTTCTCCTCTAGTTTCATGGTTTTTGAGGTTTCCCTTCAGTTATGGTCCCTCTTTAAATTTTACCCATATGTATAGACAACTTATTCTCTATTGTTTAATTTTTAAGTAAATATAAGATCAGATTGTTTTATGCATATATTTCAGTTATATAAATTATAGACAAAATATCTATATAATGATGATGAATTGTTAGCAGGCAGCTAACATGGTAATAATTATGGTTGATATATTAATAACTTAGGGAAATTAAATTTCCATAAATACTTATCTATTATGTGATTGATACAGGTAAGCAGAAGGAACCAAGTGGCTTTCTTTCCATAGTGGTTGAAGAATATAATTTCTTTTGTGACTTTAAATAGCCTTTTCCTTCTTCTCTAAAATTGCTTAAGCATAATACAGTGAAGCTGTATCATGAGTAAGGTAAAAATATCAGTCTGAATAATCTCATTATGCCACTGAGAAATGAATCATTTTAACTGTCTGTAAAGTCCCAGATTTCTAAGTTTTACTTAGTAGTAGTTTATAGGTAAAATCTTCATTATGTTTGATATCACTAAATCATCAAAGATAGTCTACATATATAGGGTTGAAAATGTAGTAGTACATGTTTTCTTTGTAGATAATAAACTACTACTAATTTATTTTAAACTCTTCTTCATACATGTAGCCCAAACTGAAACTGTGATATGCCTGTTTATCATATGATCATATGTTCAGATAAGTTGTAAAATGAACTTTAATTTAACAGGAAGCCAGGTTTTTTCTTTCATTTCAAACTTATATAGATACTCATTTTTTAACTTGTTTTGTGTACTGTATAACAAATTATTATTATGTGAATGGTCTAAAATAACAGCAATGAGCAGGAATTTTAGCCCAAAATAACCTAGGGTCTTTACATGGAGAAATATTCCAGTTTTTTTCTTCAAATTTGTGACTGATTTCTCTTTGTAGCAGATAGTTTTATGTTTGTTTTGAGGAAATTATTTTTTCCTTTTTTTAAGACTTATTTATGTATTTTACATATATGAGTATACTGTAGCTGTCTTCAGAAACACCAGATGAGGGCATCAGATCCCACTACTGATGGTTGTGACCCACCATCTGGTTGCTGAGAATTCAACTCAGGATGTCTGGGAGAGCAGTCAGTGTCATCTCTCCCGCCCCGATTTTTTTTTTTTTCTTCAGCATTGAAACAATTCATTGTTGGCAGAATTTTTTTCTGGGTTGATAAAATGATTGGAAATTTTATAGGATCCTTTGAAATAAAATACCTGGGTTTCTATACAGCAAAGTAATTTTGTTTCACTAAAAAATGTTAGCTTTAAGGAAGACTATGGTGGACTTCTTTTTAAATTTATATTTGTATCTTTTTCTGTGGAACTAGAATCGGGCTAGAGAGATGGCTCTGTCGTCTAAGCACTTGCCATGAAAGAGTGGGCACCCAAGTTCAGATCTCTAGAGTCCATTAAAACCATTACTGCCATCCCAACAGTAATTCTAGCCTTCTGGATTTAGGAGGCAGAAAGGGAGGGAGGAAGGATTCCTAGAGTGAGCTAGGTAGCTAGACAAGCCACATCAGTGAGACTGGGTTTTAATGAGAGAGCCTACCTCAAAGAATGCCATGAATGAACAGTCAAGGATTATTCCAGACATTAACTTCAGACCTCCACATGCACGTCTTCACACATGTGTCACACATATGTATATATGTACTTATACTTATATGAAAAATTCTCAGAAGCAAACCTAGTTACAACTATTTATACCTTATTTCCCCTCATTTGGTTCTCTTGGTTAGTGCTCTCACGTGAATGCATTGTTTCATATGTAAAAAGGTCATTAAAACCATAACTTTAGAAATGGCAAGCCAATGAAATGCAGCCCCTGGAAGACTGTGTAATAAGGATCACAAGTTCAAACCCAGACTGGGCTACAGCATAATACTCTGTCTCACAAAAACAAAAGGAAAAATTAAACTGTTAATATTTAGAACATAATAATGTAGCTTGTTAGTTTCCTTGCTGCACTAACACTTTACAATTCTTTCTTCACAGGCAAATCCTCCTCCAGTGCTGGTCAACACAGACAGCTTGGAGACACCAACTTATGTAAGTTCTATTTCACCACCAGATTTAATTAATTCTGCCCTTTTTTGTTGTTCAATTTGATGTAGTCCCAAAGACCACAGCATTGTTTTCTATAATAAATTTTACTTAAGAATTTCTACCTCATCATGATGGTATACACTTGTAGTTCTAACCAGGGAAATGGGCAGAATAATTAGCCTGGGCTACATGGTGAGTTGGAGGCAAGCCTGGGCTACATAAAAACTGGTCTCAAAAAATTTTTGTCCCTAGCAGTGTGTAATATATCCATAATTGGTAGTAAATGAAATCATACTATCTTGTTTTGGTTGGGTTGCTATTGTAAATGAAACAATAAATTGTTTTAATTTTGCATTTATGAATAACTTTCACTAAATGCTTTTGCATACTTAATAATTTAGAGGGTGGGTTTTATTCTTATTTCATGTGTATGAGTGACTGGATACATGTCTATGCACCATGCGTGTGCAGTGCCTCAAGAGGGGATGTAAGATCCCGCCTGAAACTAGAGTTACAGGTAGTTGTCACCTGCCATGAGTGTGCTAGGAATTGAACTCAGTCTTCAGGAAGAGCAGCCAGTGATTTTAGCTGCTCAGCCATCTCTCTAGCCCACCTCATTATAATTTTGTGTAGTTACTTATATAATGCTTGTATAATAGTTGTATATGTCACAGTCATTTTAGAATTTTAATTGCGCCGTTAGCTTTTTAGCAAGCTTGTTTGTGTTTTAGTCATATGAAGAAATAATGAATTATAATGGCAATTCTAAGTTATCTTTCTCTAAAATTACTTTCTTAAAAAATACTCTCCAAATTTTCAAGATTACTAGCCAGATTTCATTTGAAAGAGCTTTGAAGGGAAGAACTTGGTGCCTGACATTAAATAGAAGTGGTGCTCGCTGTGTTTTCAGTTGGGCTCACTTTTTAATGCCATGCCATTTGTGTAGTCTTAGGAAATCCTTTTACCCATTTTTAAATCCATAGTTAATTTTCAATCTATATAATAAGCATTTTATTTTGTATTTGTATAAATACTGGTGTGTGTGGCATATTTGGGAGTTTTGAAAGAATGTGAAAGAAACTTAATGCCAAACCAAGAGAACTGAAACTCTTCACTCTTTCAGTGTCCCCTCACACTGATGGCAAATACTTGAGAAGAACTTCATACCCTAGAGACTGTTTCTGATATTTATGTATCTGATACAGAGGCTGGACGGGGATGTTGCATGGAAGCCAACAGACAAATTTGCAGGATTGCAAGAGTCATATTAACACTTCTGCTATAAGGGATTAGACAGTTGAACACAGGCCATCAGCCTTGGCAGCAAGTATCTATACCTACTGAGCCATCTCACTAGCCCAAAATTTTGTGCTTTTGTTAATATATCCTTGGCACACTTGCTCTAGTTTTTTTTCTTGAAGTATGTTTTATTTGGGAATAGAATCAGTGATTGTATGTTTTTAAACTTCTTTTAGCTAATAGGTTATAAAAATCTAACAGAAAATTACAGAATCATAAAGAAAATAAATACACATTTTAGAGGAAATACCAGCACATTGAACTTTAAAATATCAAGCAACAATCTTGTAATTTCAACTTTTTATGGTATACTATTGAAAATTTTTTCATGCCAAGGAAGATACGTTGAGGGTCTTCTAGACAGTCCCCATGACTTGAGATTTGATAGAAAGATTCAAGACAAAATATAATTTTTTCATTATTAAGACAATATATTAGTGGCCACTGGATATGGTAGTTTAGCCTACATCTGTAATTTAGCACTCAAGGCTGAGATGGGAAGATTGTGAGTTTGAGGCCAGCCTGGGCTACAATGAGACAGTGTTTCAAAAACAAGCATGAGGAGATGGTTCAATCAATAAAGTACTTAAGGACCTGGATCTGTTGTGAAATAAAGCCAGGAGAGTTGAGCATGGTGGGACATGCTTTTAATTCCTCTACTGGAAAGGCAGAAGAAGGCAGATATCTGTGAATTTGAAGCCAGCTTGGTCTATGTAGAGAGTTTTAGACAAGCTAATAACAACACATTGAGATACTGTCTCAAAACAATATCAATGCCTGGTCAGGCAGCCTGTATTTCTAACCCCAGCACTGGAGAGGCAGAGATAGGTTAAGTCCCAGGGGCTAACTTGGTGAATTCCAAGTCAGTAAAGACCTTACTTATCTCAGAAATCTAGGTAGAAAACATTTGCAGACCCCTATCCAGGATTGTCCTCTAGCCTTCACGAACTCATGCCAACATGAGTACCTGCATACATGTGAACATGCCCATACAAAAATGCAAATCCATCTGTCCTAATTACTTTTCTCTTTCTGTGAAGAAAAACAGTTACCAAGGCAACTATGGAAGAAAGAATTTATTGGAGACTTGTTTACAGTTGTGAAAAGTTAGTCTATGACCATCATGATTGGGAGCTTGATGGCAGGCAAGCATAACACTTGAGCAGTAACTGAGAGCTTACATATTAATAATCACAGTGACACACCTCCTCCAACAAGGCCACACCTTCTAATCCTTCCCAAACAGTTCCACCAACTGGGAACCAAGCATTTGTATATGTGAGCCTTTGAAGGCCACTATGTCACCTAACTATATAGTGAGTGAGTGTCTACAGTTAGATCCTAAGGCTGTGTATCTGGAAGAGTTCATGTTTAAACTTCATATATTTGTTTCCCCCATGAGGGAGTCACAAAGCACTCTCTCCCCTTGCAGGAGAAATGCAACAGCATGTATACAGTGTTCCTGTTCATGGAAGCTCAGGATGACTGAGGTGCCTAAGGTTTTGCTTTTATTGGCCATACAGGACAACTTTGTTTAAATCTCCAGTTTTCAAAAAGGAGAGCAGATTTTTTTTAATGTAAAGCGAGTTGTCTTTAGACAGTAAGTAACCAACCTAGCAGTCGTGCAGCAATAGTAAGCTCCCCAGATCTGACATCTTAGAAGCTGCTAAGACCCAGTCTCACTCTCATGCTCTTCTGTTAGAAATTTCAACTTTGAAATGTGATAGCTTTTTCATCTTAAGGAAGTAAGGCAAATTCCAGTTCCCTGGTCAAGATTTACCAGGGGATGAGTCATCCTGCTTTTACAGAATAGTGTATAAAATATGAAGTAGTAGCTAGATATGGTGGTACAAGCCTTTAGTCCTAGCAGAGGAGGTAGAAGCAGGTGGATCTCTTGTGAGTTCAAGAATAGAGGCTAGCTGGGTCTTCTGTATAGCAAGTTCTAAGACAGCTAGAGTTACATGGTGAGACCTTGTCTCAACTCCTCCTTTACCCCTAAATAAATATTAAGTAGTAAATTGTTCTGTCTGGCTATTATAATTTCTCATGTAGACAAAATTGTTTTAAGTTAAACACTTTAGGCTGTTAAGAGATTTAAGAATTTAGTTTTGAGATTTCAGATATATTCCAAGGTGTTTTGAAAACTCATTTATTATCCCATTGTTAATCCTGATCACTTAATATTAGCTGGATTGTCCCGTCCAGAAGGGCAGTAAGCAGGGGCCTGGGGAGGTCACCTGAAAGAGAGGATGGGGAAACAGGCAAATGCAAAGAACCACAATTTGTCTATAGTCTGATCAAATCACAATTTTTACTTTTTCACATAGGGGTTATATACACAAAAAGGCAGGATGTGGGGAAGGGGATGACGCAGGAGCGTAGGTGTTCAGGGGAGTACAAATATCTTCCAGAACAGAGTATCAGCTGAGTGAAAGTTCAGGGGACAGGTCACTATGACTCCACTTATGATTCACTTGTCCTTATCTAAGTTGGTACTATCCACCAAGGCTACCCAAGGTCTATGACTATTCACAAGACCTATGACTACTTGTTCTTATCCAGGCTGGTAAATTTCCACCAAAGCTGCCTGTTATGATATCGTATAGCTATCTGTTTCAGTGGTTTTCCAGAGACCCAAGACTTTGTGTTAACAGGCTGACTTAGGCCTATTGCTGATTTTAGGCCTTCAGTGTATAAATAGGGCTGCCCCTGACACTGGATAACTGAATTAAAAATAAGAAAGGGGGGAAAAAGCCTCTGTGTACAGTTCCCAAAACATGTGCATGAAGAAGAGAGGGAAGAGACTGAGACTTCTTGTTCAGAACACACTTCTCCTAGTTACATTTACACCCCAAAGTTCACTAAGGAAGGACACATGTGTATTGTAACCTGTCTCCTCCTTCCATCCCTGTCCCTACTCTTTATTTCCAATTACGTAAAGCAGAAAGTGCCACTAAGCTTATAAATATCCTTCAATAAACACTTTCTCATGCAAGCTTTTCTAAATTCAGTGCCTCAGACTTCTGGACCACATCATCACCAGCGTATAAACATGTTTCAAGCCTGTGATGTATCTCTTACTATACATGGCCATAAATAAGTAACCAAGATAAGTAACCAGAGAAAGGAAGGGCTTATTTTAGCTAGTAGTTTAAAAGGATGCGGTAGTAGTGTGAGATGGCTGGTCACACTCTATCTACCCAGTCAGGAAGCAGAGAGACCAAGGCTGCTGCTCAGCTGACCTCCAGCCTCTTTTTATTCAGTCAGGGCCCCAATCCACCCACTTTTTAAGTGAGGCTGGGTCTCCTCTCACTTGTACCTCTCTGGGAATATCATTATGAACATGTCCTGAGGTGTGTTTCCTACGTGCCTTCAGATCCAGTTAAACTAACAATGAAGAACCATCAGAGTCCTAGTGATCATTCAGAGGTATTTTTGTGTGTGCATAAGTACGTAATCAAAATACATTGAAATAAGTGCAGCTGCTAGCCATACATATGCATACTGGCACAACTACAGTCATGGCCCTTACCAGGTGGAAGCAAAATGCAAGGCCACGCTCAATTTTACAGCAAGCTTGAGGGCAGCTTAAGCTACATGAGAGCTCATCTTTTTTAAAAAAAAAAAAAAATTAATTTTGAGCAAACAAAATTACTTAAATTTTTTTATTTGATCATTATTGCCAAGTTACACTTCAAAAAAAT